TAAACCTTTTGCATTCATCTACATAATGATTTTCCTGACAAACATAACATTTCGATTTGACTTCCCCCCCTTTCGATTCTCTATAACCAAATGCATTTACCCCTGATCTGGTTCCAGTGTTCTTATGGATTGTGGCACCAGAACGTATTCGGGCTGTCATCTCCTCCTCCATCCATTCAAGAAGATTTTCCATTGACGGTTCAAGCTTACGACTGTTGATATGGCGCGACCATACTCTAAGATCATCTTTGGTCATCTTTCTCTCTATCAAGGATATTACATGGGTGTTGTCGATATCTTGTTTCCTCTTGACTTCTTTCAGAATATTGTATGATCTTCGCACTAAATTCACAAGCTCGCAGAAGCGATAATCCTCACCAGGCTGGATTATCTTAAATTTCTCTAGATCTGACGTGACTGTGTCTGACACCACTCTTGGATTCCCATAGTTTTGATCTAGGTACTTCCATGCTGTTTTCAAATCTGAACTTATCCCTTCGATCAACTTTGCTGGTTGGGCATTAAGACATGACCGAAGAATTGTAAGGGTGTCCCTTTCAGAACAGTGGGCTTCTACAGCATGCTGGAAATCTGACTTGAAAATAAAGTACTGTCTTACATCTCCATCAAATTTGGGCAGTTTTGGCTTCTCGTGTTTCATGGCAAAGGGGCTTGACAATTTCACATTCTTTGTCACACTACTTAGTTCGTCTTCAGCAGGCTCATGCATATCTAAACTTTCCTGGTCATCATTTACACTATTGTTTTCATCATTCTCACCGTCCACATTTGCATTATTTCCATCTTCATTTATAGCCTGATTTACTACATCATCATTTTCCTTTTCAGCAACATTGGCATTCAAATAATCATTATACATCATAGAAAACTTCATGTACTCACTGTTACAAGCTTGCATCCATTCCTCAGCTTCGTCATATTGGGTGTCATCTAACACCATTGTAAACTCTTCATGCTTAACTTCCAGACCATTATACGCATTTTTTACAACATCAAACGCTTCTTTGACTTCGACAACAGGGCGCTGAGCATCAATAAGATTCTTACAAGCGATAAATGCCCTCGTTAATGTGCCTTTTGCAGCCCGTCGAATATTCTTGACTTTATCTTTATCCATTTTAATACTTTAATAGCTCCAAACCACGATCAGCACGTTAAATAGACACCAAGATTTTCAGATAATGGACCGACGATAACTTGGAGCTAACATACAATAATCCAATAATACAATACACGCTTGGGATTTTAGTATTAAGATTTATTCACAAATAACAACAATCTGAAACTAAATAATAATGAAATTAAATCGGTATGTTTACATATATTAAATTAGTACTAAATCACAAAAATGAATTAACTAAGGCTTTCTACTTACATCTGTCCTAAGCAAGCATCCTTTTCCTTTTATCTTAACATTTAACAATAATAAACCTTACTTAAAACTTTATAAACTTCATAAAACCATACGAAAACGTGTTCAAAACATTTCTACAAGCTCATCACATTTTTCCTACGAACCCTTCCGACTAAGGTCCGAGTAAACTCCGACTAACTAAAACATTAAAATAGTCTTACATGAAGTCCTATCATCGTCAATGAAACAATATGTGTTCACTATTTTTCACTATTTTGGTTATTTTAATTGACGAGACCATGATAATCAATATCCTTAAATCTTAAATTCCAATCTAAATAACCATAATCCTCTCTTTTAGCTTCAAATAATCTGTAATCCTTTATAAAATAAGCTTCAAATAATCTGTAATCCTTTATAAAATACCCAAATAATCCATAATCCTAAAACCCTAACAGGGCCTCTCTATTGGCACGACTGTAACACAACTCGCTAGTATATGAACTATGAATTGTTCACTGATCATCTATCAGCATTGGCAAGTCATTGATATAAAACGTTATAAATACTTCGCTAATCGCTATTACGCTGACCTTATCAATCAAGTTTTAGATTTTTACGAAAACACATTTGATTTGCATAACTGAACATAATAATATAAGACTTGTTGAGTTCACACGTCCTTTTTATTCTAAACAGTAAAATTAAGCCTCGTCGACGTCGTGATCTATTTGCTCGTGTTGACATGGTGACACTGATATTGTCTGTACGGCTGGGTGGCCTACGGCTACGGGGCATCAAATCTACCGGAGCTATTAAACTGATCATATTTCTTAAATTAGGGACTGGTCATAAAGTAAAGGGGGGCTGGGAAAAATAGGGGATGGGTCACTATTTTTGAGCACGGTTGAAGGGGTGGGTCATCGAAAGTTAAGTGCAATCATAAGGGTGGGCCATGTAAAAATATGCAGAAATTTTTTCAAGGGCATGTGTATTAAAATTCATATTATAAAAATAGAAATAAAACGTATCAGGTCCATGTGTAAAATTTATACCGCAAACGTTAACCTCAAACTTAAAAGCTTTATTATTAGCATGACAAAATTACTGGATGCTGATTGGTTGAGAGGAGTACAATTATTTCATTAATTGTACTGCAGTACAATTAATGATTTTCCCAAAACAAACAAAATGGCGGAAAGGTATTTTAAACACAAGCGTGAAATGAAATTGCCGTGGAGGAACTAGATGAAAATACGAACAAAAGCACCAAATTTTGCTTGAACAAAAGAACTAAATGAAAATACAAACAAAGCACCAAATTTTGGTTGAAAGTCTGGCAGGACTGGGCTTTGGCGAGAGAATATGATGTTGACATTGAGAAGTACGTATCCAATTTTGTCATGCTAATATTAATAAACAAGTTCGGCGGCTCGTCCAATTTTGGCAAAATTTCCAAACATCACTCGTACTATTAATCCCTAATTGTACTCGCCATGGCATGATTACCTATACTTATTTACTGTCTTGGCTAATACGTTAGTAGTGGCTAACTAATTTTCTGATAATCATTATTGCTAAATGTCACGAGCTTTGTGTAGGATGTTTATTATGTAACAAAATTAGTGTAATTTCTACAAGAGCGTAGTTAAATCACAATCATAATTAGCGGTTTGGCGTTAGCTGTAAATGTCAAACTAAATGTCTCTAATTATGAGAAAGATACTGCATAATGCAGTATGCATGGGAAGTTCCATGCAAAGAAAGACCTTTCTGTATTTAATTCGATTTCAGGGCCTCTTTTAACACATAGGCTGGGAAGGGCATGTCCCCCCCCCAGCCCTCTTACTGGTCCCTCCAGTCGGCAATTTTGTCCCCCCCCCCAGTGAGGTCCCTAACATTTCTGAATTTGACCATCATCTGCAGGCCCGTAACTAGCTATGAGTCCACCGAGTCAGTTGACTCGGTAGGCCAGAATCTGGGGACTGAAATTTAAACATCGTTAGAAACCTAAACCATAACTGAAATGATTTGCTTGTGGAACAAGGCATGAAATGGCATTTTAGGACAAAATTCTAGTTTAGTTTTTCCAAGCAAGATACTTCGAAGAGACCACCCTATCTTGCTCTTCAGTGACACTGAGAAGACGAATGCGTCGATTTCAAGTACCCCAATAAATGTAATACAGTACTGTAGAATTTGAAGTGTGGTGAATGATAATACTAACCAGACACATTTTAATTACTATGTTGCCTTATTGGGACTGGATTATATTTGGGAGACTGTGAAATTGTGAAAATTGCAGTAATTGTGTCACTGTTTATAAGGTTAATTTCTTGTTGGAAAACTCCTCAAAATGCGGGAAATAGCTTATTAATAATAATTTTCTGGGGGTATGCTCCAGACCCCTCTAGAAGCTCGCACCTTGGATGGTCGACTCGGTTGTCTCAGAATCCTAGTTACGGCCTGATTTGCTGCCCTATGACGTATAGTAATTAGCTAAACCATGCATATATATAGGCTGGTAGCCGACTGGAACTTCTCCAGGTCCCCTCTAAATGTGTCCTCTCCAGTTACACATCCTTAAAAGAATTTTAATTGCACCATGAGTACTGGTATCTTTTGTGTTTCTGAAAGGGTGGGTCATAATTTTTCAGCACCAATTAAGGGTGGGCCACAAATTTTCATGCAGCTATTAAGGGGTGGGCTACCAAAAGTGCAGACACCAAATATTTGATTTTCCCACCCCCCCCCCCTTTTTACTTTATGACCGGTCTCTTATTAAATCATGCAAATTTTTGACAGTTTTGTGAATCTTCTTGACTATCAACCGTAAAGCCACTAAAGGCCCAAATTCAAGTTATCATAAATTTCTCAACTTTGCCCAACGTAATTAAAGAATAAAGTGAGCTAGTCTTGAAGTTCTTTGACTAGTCTTTGTTAAAGGTATGAATACGTTTTAGTGAAACACTGTACAATTTCAGTTTTGTGTGCGCTCAACCATTTTCAGTTTGATGTTGCACTTGTTGTGACTTGGAATGCAACCGTTGTATCAAGACGTGAAAATCTGTGATTTGGCGTTGTAAACAGAGCGAGGACAATGTCTAAATTATTCTACCTGCCCGAAATGCTCCCTAAGCGCCTGCGGAGGAGGTAGCAAATTATTCATATATTGTAATTACTCAATTCTTCAATGATCTATTGTATTGGTAGCCGTTGCCGTCGCGTTGCCGTCCTAAAATCGTAAGGTCTCTAATAAAAGCCTCGTCGACGTCGTGACATATCTATTTGCTTGTGTTACGTTGACTACATCTACGGAGTACGGGGCATGCAATCTAGCGGAGCTAATTATTCTCGTATATTTCTTAAATTAATCATGCAAATTTTTGTCAGTTTTGTGCATTGAACTGAAAAGGAATGTTATATTATTATGCACTGATGCTTCTTGACTATCAACCGTATAGCCACTAAAGGCCCAAATTCAAGTTGAAGCTAATATTTGTTGGCCGTGTAAATGATTCGCTTGATTTGTATCGGGTGAATTTCTCAACTTTGCCCAACATAATTGAAGTAAGCTAGTCTTGAAGTTCTTTGACTTTATTAAAGGTATGTATACGTTTTAGAAATTTAGTGAAACACTGTTCAATTCCAGTGTCGCTTGCGCTCAACCATCTTCAATACACACACTGCACTGCTAAAAATATCTGAGCGGTTTTTTACCGAATAGTGTACTGTTATACCGAATAGTGTACTGTAACTTACTGTAACAGTAAATTACAGGTTAATGGACTATGTTTTGAAAGAAATCTGTTATTTGACATGTGTTTGACCGTAATATTTTACAGTAAGTACACTGTATGATTGCAAATTATGGTGTAATAGATTGTTTTGCATGAACTGACAGCTTTTTACGGTATAAATACAGACTTTGCATGGTTAAAAGCAGTCTCTCTATGACTGTATTAAAACTTATAGTACATGCATTCTCTGGCGTCCCAGCTGCCAGTCTAATTTACCGTAAAATTACGGCCGGTTTTTTTAAAATTCGGTTCAGTAGAACTCTTCCCAAACATAAAGCCAATGTTTTCAACTTCTCATACGAATTATATATACGACAAGTTTTCTTTACTATCATTTATTTGAAGGAATTTGTTTTGGCCATCGTCGCCGCGTTGTCGTCCTGCATGCTTAAGCCTCGCTATTTGCTCGTGTTGACATGGTGACTCTGATATTGTTTGTACGTGGGGAGCGGTACGAGGCATGCAATCTAGCGGAGCTAATTGATCATATTTCTTAAATTAATCATGCAAGTTTTTGACAGTTTTCTGCATTGAACTGAAAAGGAATGTTACATTATTATGCATTGATGCTTCTTGACTATCAACCGTAAAGCCACTAAAGGCCCAAATTCAAGTTGAAGCTAATATTTGTTGGCCGTGTAAATGATTTGTATCATAAATTTCTCAACTTTGCCCAACAATACATAATTAAAGTGAACTATAGTCTTGAAGTTCTTTGACTTTGTTAAAGGTAGGTATACAGCTATTTCAATTAAGGTTGTCCACGAGCAAAGCGGAAAAGTCGAATACGAGCGCAAAAGGCTGCTGGGAATCTCTTTGAAAATTCATTAATTTGTTAGCGATTCCCAGCAGCCTTTCGCGCTCGTATTAGACTTTTCCGCTTTGCTCGTGGACAACCTTAATTGAAATAAAGCCGTATATACATTTTAGTGAAACACTGTTCAATTTCAGTGTTGCATGTGTGCGCTCAACCATCTTCAATACACACACTGCACTGCTAAAAATGTCAGGCTGGGCGTTTTTTTTTACCGAATAGTGTACTGTTATTTTTACCTTAGTAAGTATACAGTAATAGTAAATTACTGGTTAATGAATAATGGACTGTATTTTGAAAGAAAACTGTTATTTGACATGTGTTGTAATATTTTACAGTAAGAATATGTATGGTGCAATGGATTGTTTTGCATGAACTGACACCTTTTTACGGTATAACTGAATACGGACTTTATATGGTTAAACTTATAGCCGATGCATTCTCTGGCGTCCTGCCAGTCTAACTTACCGTAAAATTACTTTCGTAAAATTTGGTTCAATAGATGGTTAAAGATATGCGGCATTTGTTGAAATTTATTTAGTATACCTCGTGTGTTTTAATGCTTCTCCCAATTGATTCAATAACTATATAAGTCGAGCTTGTTTAGTATGGATATAAATCTGGTACAAGCCTAGCTTATTGAGTCCTATTGTGATTCATTCGAACATGCACGCCTTCCAGTGGGAAACCGTATATGATGTATAATAACATCACATGCATAATAGTAAAAGGCGAGGGTGAGATCCATATTACACAAGCAAAACATTTCTGCAACTGTGAAACAAAACTAGGTAGATTACGTTTTAGTAGCACTGTTTAAATTAAGTTGCATGCGCTCAACCATACCATGTATACTTCATGCATGACACGCTATATGGTTGAATTAATGGTTGAAGATCAATTCATTGTGTATATAAATTAGTATACCATTTGCATGTGTTTTATACTTCTCCGATGCAACTGATTCAATTACTATACTGTATATATAAGTCTAAATAGACATCGATCCGGTCTTGTTCAATATGGGACATACGTAAAAGGCAGCTATATCATTGCTTCAAATTGTCAAATTACTTCCGACATTAAAAAAATACAATTAACATATCACATTCAAAGCTTCTCTACAGGGTATCTCAAAAAAATGTCCCGTCTTAATTACTATAAGTTATAGGGGACATTTTGCCTGGGGCTCCCTGCATGTATATTCATTTTAAACATAATGCTGGTTGACCCGGTTTGAAAAATACTTTTGTGCATTGGACTGAGTGAGAAGGAATATTGTAAATGCAAGGATGTTTCTTGTTATGCAAAATTAGTGCTTCTTGTATGGCTATCAATTAACAGTAAAGTCCCAAACCTATCCAAGTACCTATTCGGGGTTTGCGACGCCATCTTGCAAAGTGGGATAAACACATGCAGTGGCACTTCCAACTAACCCAATTGATTCAATAATATAAGACATATAAGGCCACGGTCAAACGTCGAACTTTTCATGCGCTGAACCTAATGCAAATGAAGTGAAACAAAGAACTTAGCATACTTAGTGGATACGCGGATACGTGGATACACAGTCAAGCGACCCATATCGTTGCTTAGCATAAACGCGAACGATGCGTATAAACTACGACAATAATACCACATCTGATTGCCTCCATTCCGAGGGCTGAGTTCAACCCCGGGGTTGAAAATGCTTCACGTAATTGGCCCCTTAGTATAGATATATTACTAGTGCAAGCGGATTTTTAAGGAAAAATAAACAATTTTTTGACAGACTCCGTACTTCGCACTCTGCACTCCGTCTTTTCAACCATGCCGAAATAAATCTTATAAGCTGCGACAAAAGTTCGTGATTAATCGGCTTTTTCGTTTGTTATGCACTGCTTTAATTATAAGGCACACTCAGAGGTGAAAATATGCGATTCATGACTAACATTTTTTATCGGACTTGTACTTGCTTATTTTTTCTCCACTTAGCATGAAAAACATGTTATCAGAGGCGAGTGATTCACGTGCCGTATAGCGCGCTGAAGTTCGACTACCTTTTTTTATATACACCCTGTATATTATCTTTTTAGTGTTCGTCCGCGCTTAATCTATTTGGCAAATTATAGACGCACAAATTTTAAAAATTTCCCAGCTGATCGGAGAGCTTTACTGATTGTGACGAAACGCCGGTCGCTGTCATGCCGCAGTGACAAAATTGAGTCATGAATTTGATGAATTTTAGCAAAATAATTAATTCGTTTTGATGTGATGAGTGAACAAAAAAACACAATGTAGAAGTGTTCAAGTTATGTCTTACCATAGTGAGTTTTTAAATGAATTTCGATGTTTTTAGTTGTCATTTGGTTTTTGTGCTTCATACATTGTGTTACACATACTTCATGTAATACGAATTATAAAGGTGTTACTGTAGATTGAAGCATTGCATTTTAAACTGGGCACTTTTATGAATTTGTTCAAAAAGTAAAAGACCTTTTCGCCGCTGTGGTGCCTAAATTACTTTTAATTTGTACTCGAGTAAAAGTTGAAGTACTATTAACAATAAAAGGACTTCAGTAAGAGTAAAAAGTACTGGAGGCACTGAAAAACGTATTTGAGTAAAAAGTACAAAGTATCCTTAAAAAATACTTGAAGTAAAAAGTAAAAGTAAATTACTATTGTCTGTAGCGGGTATGGGGGGAGGGTGGACTTCTCCAATGGATTGACACACACAAGACGCAAAACAACACACGCGTTAAGTCGTCACGAAAATATTTCGTGCACTTAAATTGGATAAAGGTCCACACACATCGGACGCGATTCGACAACGCGACGCGATTTCTTAGTTTTTTGAAAGTTAATAAAACAGCCAATAAGGGTAAATTTTAAAAGATATGTAGACCAAATAACTCAAAATTTTATAGCGCTTCTAAATATTTGGAAAATTTAAACCAGGATCAAATAGAAAAATCGCGTCGCGTTGTCGAATCGCGTCCGGTGTGTCTCCACCTTAAGACTCGCTACCAATCCCCGTTGACTCCATAGCTCAATGGGTAGAGCGGCGGCTAGATACCCGAAGATGCGAGTTCAAATCCCGCTCGAGCCAACGAATTTTTCGTTGGCTCGACCGGGATTTGAACTCGCATCTATTAATTAACTCAAAATTACAAAATTTGAGTTCGAGATATTTTTTTCATATTCTACATTATAAGAACCCAAAGAAGCTATATATATCAAAAATTGGATACTAATAACTGCTTAATTTGCGAAATTGAGAGCAATTTCAGATCTGTTCAGTTTTTTTATACACCCTGTATATCAGTCCAATTTATCTTCTGATGTAGAGACTTCAGTAATAATGGGAAAAGAAGGATGGATTATGAAATTGACTGCTCTACGTTTCTTCTTGGCCGGCATTGAAAATTACATCATTGCACCTACAGCATGGTACTACGTCAGATCGTTTGGTCAAAGCAAGTTTTTCTTGGCTTTAGTCTTAGTTTCGTACAACATTGCCGCCATCATTGCTGGACCTCTGTTTGGATTCCTAACCGATAGATTTGGAAATGCTAAGTTACTGTTTATTTGCTCTAATGTACTCAAGTTCGTCGCTAGTATGATGTACAGTATTAACTTGAGTGCATATTTCCCCCTTTGTGCAAGGTTTATAACAGGATTAGACGGGGGTATTGCAATCCTCCTGGGTCAAATTGCATTACAGATCAACGAAGAAAGTCGCGGGAAAAGCTTCCTATTCTTTGAAGGTGTGTACTGTCTTGGTTCTGCAATTAGTCCTGGAATTGGAAGTTTTATTTCATTTCGGGTCAACATACTTGGTTGGGATATAAATGAGGGCAATTCACCTGGAATTGTGTTGGCAATAATATGGCTTCTTTTCCTTATTTTTTCATTGTTCTTACCTGGAACTATGTGGGTGGAGACAGGTACTCGTATTGAGAAATTGAACGTTAGTGCCTACGAAGAAGAAGAAAGATCGAGTGAGTACAATAAAGATGGCGACCAAAGTTTGCGTGAAGGCTGTAGTTCAGAGAAGAAGCCTAGAATAATGTGGGATTCAAGAATTTTTTGCTTGTTCTTTCTCATGTTTACCAACATGGGATTTTCAAGTACGTCCACATTTTATGCACCTATTTTGGCGTTGGATCATTTGCACTTACAACTTATTCACACCAAGTTGATATTCCTGAACTGCACCATATTTACACTGCTGGCCTTCACCTGTTTTCATGTCGCCTCCGGATATGTTGAAGAACGAAAACTATTTGCAACTGTCTTGATCATGCAACTTTTTTCCATATCATTTCTTACTTATCTGGCTTTCTCCTGGAATCAAGTAACCGACATTCAATACTATATTTTACTTTTATACGTTTGTTTAGGTATGCCATATTTTGCCTATCCTTTCGGAAATTCAATTCTTTCACGGATCACCGACCCTCAGTTTGCGACATTTATTCAAGGTTTATCCTTATCAATTTTACACGTCGCGTTTATAACAGGTCGAGTTGTGGTCAGTTTTGTCTTCACCCAAACAAGTTTGACATATTTCTGTTTAGCCTTGATTAGTTTGTGGTTGGTTGGGATTATATGGTATGGTGTGCTTTACAAAAGAATGGCTGTCCATGACTAAAGGAATATTTTGTTTTGGCACCAAGCAGGATTTTGCAAATTTCATGAATTTATTACGATTAATAATAATAACGATTTCTTTCAATATTTAATTAAAATTGCATTGAAAAAATGAATTGTCTATAATTTGCTTGTATTTTTCTCAAGTTATTTTCCTTTTGGGATGTGCACATTTCATTGACAACAATGGTAGTGTCCCACTGCAATGAATATAACTGAAAATCTACCTCGAAACTGAAATTTGAAGCCAAACTTGAAGGCAAGTCCCAGTCTTTTCACGCATGCGCAGGACGCTCAATCAGTCAATCATGATGTAAACACGTATGTCTTGATTTGGCTTTAAGAAAAAGATAGGCAGTTTATCTGAAGCCAGCCTTCAAGTCAGCGTGACCAGATTTGGTAAAAAGTTTTACTTTTGGTAAAATTTCGTGAATTTTCAAGAAAATTTGGTAATGAGTTTTTTGGTAAAATTTTGGTAAAATCTGAAAGTTTTAAATATTAATAATCATTTTCATAAAAATGTGTGTTTCTTGTTTAATAACATGCTCAAAGTGATGAACAGAACTGTCAAGCCTAACTGAGAAATAAAGCCTTATGATTAGCAAAAACTGCAATACGGTGAAAGCAACAAGTATTTCGAGATATCTTATTGGGCATATTTTTTCTACTTTGATGATGTAACTATTGTTTTTTGGCATTATTATGTCGTAATTATTTGGGAAGCCGACATTTGGTAACATTTTTCTTAATTTAGTAAAATTTGAACAAAATTTTGGTAATGACTGCTGAAAAAATCTGCTCACACTGGTTCCAGTTATATTCATTCCGATGTTCTACCTTCAAGAGGTTCAAGAGGCTCTGCAAGAACAGCGAGGCAGAAGAAACGTCAAGAAAGAAGAGCCTTTGGCCATGGAAATCGATTGCGATTTATTTATTTATTATAATTTGCCCACAAAAATATTTACCACTATAGAAGTCACTCGGAGACTGCATATACCTTTCCAGCGAATTAAAATATGCACGAGGCATCAATTTAGTGCAATGGGCTAAGGGACCGTTCATTAATTATACGTCAGGGTGGGCTGGAGGAAAAAGAGCAGAAACGGTGCAAGTTTTCCATGACCCACCCCATTAAGGTGTTAATTTTTTCATGACCCCCCTTCTAACCGATAATTTTTTTCACTGCCCCCGCCCCCCCCCCCTATTTATTTTCACCAAGTCGTACAAATTTTTCCCAAAAATTTTGTCGACGTTGGAGTGGGGTCAAAAAATGTTCCGGACCAACAAAAGCATAGTCTAAAAATATTTCCGGACTAACATAAGCATATTCAAAATTTTTCCACCAACATAAGCAACGCTTCCAATTTCTTCACCACAAACATAACAAAAGCTTTAAAACTGTTAAAATTGCAAACCATTTCATCAAATGGTTTTGGTTGTGAAGGCTTAATATTTGAAACTGGTCATCCTAAAATATTAATAATTACCACAAATAATTTTGGCAACCCCCCTCCTTTCACGCTGAAAACACTTTAAAAGCCCC